GTGAGAGATGATTTCTTATATGTTTATTCTATTCAATTCAACGATGTCAGAAACCGATAAAAATTTTTCAGCTTGAGAGATTTATTTGCTATTCATCAAATCAAGTAATTTGGAGAGAGAGACAGAAATTAAATTGGCCTTATGAATGTCAGTATAATAAAGAGAGATATAACACACGCATACACACACGACGTTTATTACGCAAGACGTATACCAGCTCGAGACACATTAGACATTTGATAAATATTTAGATTGTACTGGGCCCGTTATGGTCGCATTGGCGACGCTAAAGACATAAACCTTCCAATTGTACTGTCAACGATTTACATTGGAAATCCGTCGAAGCTGCACGATCCGAAATGTTTCAAACTAATTTATTACATACAGCTGTGCACAGCACTATTAGAATTTCTGTCTAATAATGATTTAAAAAATTTCGTTCCAATTAATTAGAGAAATGGCATATATATTTCCTCAACATATCTATTATAATCAATTTTTGAATAATTGATAGACTGTACATAACTTTTAATATAACTTAAAAAAAATCAGTTTTAATTTTATAAAAGACATAATCTAGAATATAATATGTATATATAATATTAGAATTAATAGCAATAATGCATTACCTTGTTCTCGGTGATGCGGACGTGTATTTTCTCCGAAGAATGAATTTGCATAGCTTTCATTGTGTTGCGAATCTTGCCAAAATTGATACTTGTTCTTATCTTCATAATTTATAATCGTATTCTGCAAATGAGGCATCTCCCAAGTGCGAAACATCGTTTCTGTATTTGTCGAGGGCATCCCATGCCGATCTTGATTCTCGTATAATAAATCTTTGGATTCGTTCGAAGATGTCACATCTTCCTTCTCATTCGACGGATCGATCATTCTATGACAATTTGCGGCATCTTGCTGGAAATATTGCTCCCACCTTCGAAAATAAAACATTATAATTATAATTAATACATTATAATAAAATGCGATTATATAGGGTGTACATTATAATAGTAATTGTATGGTATTATGGTGTTTTTCGTTTTAAATGTGTGGGAAGTTAGAATAACAAAAATTTCGAAAATAATTTTTTTTATAATAATTTTTAATATAATTGAAATCATTAATTCTAACAAAATATGTGATTTTAAAAATCGCACACGAACAATGTGTATTTCTTATAAAAGCAGAGATAATTTTTGAGAGAACAAATATTCTTTAAAATACACAAAATATATGATGAAATATTCATAAACGTAGCAATAATATTAAAACACTATTATTTTGTAATATTATAAAATAATATTAAAAGATGCTATGTGCCTTTAAAATATTTCTTATTTTGTTTAAATAAAAAAATACTCAAATATTGATAAAAATGGAATATCAAGTATTCCATTAATCACATTTTGTACATCTCTCTCAATCTTTTTATGCAAAATATAGAGCTTTACCTGTACGTATAATTTTGATTGGTATCGGTGTTTTGACGAAAATTCGCGATACATGGTGAAGAGTGTAAACGGGCGATTTCATCGGTCGCGATGTCGAATCCGTTGCAGGGATTGCTCCAGGACCACCTGTGACATGAAGATGTCATCTCGCAATCTGTTGTCGTTGATCTCGGGTTCTGTCCTTCCAAGTGAAGACACGACGGCGTCGGCGGTGTCGGTGGTAATTCAAAATTATCAGACGTCCGACGGCTGTTTGCAATCGTATTTTTCGACCACGACATCACGATTAACAATGAGATAAATAAAGATTTCGACAGTTTTTTAGCACGCATAAAATGCCACTTGTATATATACGAGATTTCTTTGCAAATATTTTAATATTTAGAAATTAGCAAAGAAGCAATTATTATGCAAATATAGAGCTTTACCTGTACGTATAATTTTGATTGGTATCGGTGTTTTGACGAAAATTCGCGATACATGGTGAAGAGTGTAAACGGGCGATTTCATCGGTCGCGATGTCGAATCCGTTGCAGGGATTGCTCCAGGACCACCTGTGACATGAAGATGTCATCTCGCAATCTGTTGTCGTTGATCTCGGGTTCTGTCCTTCCAAGTGAAGACACGACGGCGTCGGCGGTGTCGGTGGTAATTCAAAATTATCAGACGTCCGACGGCTGTTTGCAATCGTATTTTTCGACCACGACATCACGATTAACAATGAGATAAATAAAGATTTCGACAGTTTTTTAGCACGCATAAAATGCCACTTGTATATATACGAGATTTCTTTGCAAATATTTTAATATTTAGAAATTAGCAAAGAAGCAATTAAGCGCAATAAATTCACGATTTTTTTCCAATAATTATTCATATATATCTCGGTTTTCTACTGACAACAATGGTATCTAATTGTAAAAGAAAGGAAGAGTAGAGAGAAAGTACAGAAAAAAAGTTAATTTCTAATTATTTATATCTAATTGGAAAACAAGTTTTTCGTTCGGACATTATAAAGCAGCTTTAAAAGCTTTATGGTTTTTAATGATATTGATTTATTGTCCTCTTACTCTTACTTTTCTCTCTCTTTTGCCTTTATATCTACTTTTTCAGTAAAGTCGCATAAAATTCCGAAGATGTGTCAAAAATTATTTCATGTGTTTAACGTTAAATATAACAATTGGGGAACACCGTATCTAATTAATTGTTCAAGAAAGTCACATAGACGAGCACAGTTTCACCACAGGATCACTCCGCGCGCGACTCGGTGCGAATTGCGTTAGCGCCTACTCGGAAATGTCAAACGAGCACATGTGACAGCGTCGTCCTAAGACCCGCGGTAACATCATGGAGAATGCCGTTGGAGTCGTAGGAGTAGGGTCTCTCATGGAAGCTCCGTAATCTTCTTCCACGTTTACTTTTGGCTTTTTAGCCAATCCCCGAACCGTGAATCGTTTCTCGCAGCCAAAGTGAGTAATCGATGAAAGAATTTAATTGATGACACGCGAAGGCGGTCTCGTCGAATTTTTTGCTTCCCGAACCCCCTTTGCTGAAAATAAAGAGAATTTTAGATGACGCACGCGTGGGAATGATGCTTCAGAATTATTGCCAGAACAGAAGAAGTTGTGTTGATTATTACCATTTTAATTGATTTACTATATATGGAAATTTGTAGTCCACACTTAAAATAGTTTAGTTTGTCGCAATATCAAATTAAAAATAGACATTTTTTTTATTATTTGCCTATTAATTCACTTAGCTTTTAAGCAATTAAAAATCACATATGTTAAAAGTGACTGCACTTTTATTTTAAGTTGTGATAATTATTGCGCTCTTTCTAATTATATATATAATAGATTAACTATTAATAAAAAAGTTAATTGTTGAAACCAATCGAATAATCATATTTAATATTAAACACGGATTACGAATTTCTTATCAACAGAAACCAAACGTAAAGAAGATATGAAAGAGGAAAATTGATCTGTTCTTTTTTTTCTTAAGGCGATTCATTCACGAATTCATCGTCGAATGTTTCATTGAGGAAGACCATCATTCTATCAATGAGGTGCATAAGTCTATCGAGGGAAAGGGAGGGGGGGGGGGAGAAACCACCTAAGAAAACACGGAGGGCGAGAGCGAGAGTGCAAGTCGGGGTCCGACGCGGTGTTTCGAGGGTTCGACCTCTTCTCGAGGGTCACGCGTCTCCATTAGTCATCGGCATTGTTTGGCTTCCTCTTTCAGGATGGTGGTCACACGCGTGCCGAAAGAGACGCGGCAAGAGGCCCACCACCTCGTCAAGCACTCAGCTCTCGGCACAGGAAGCGGGATTCCCTGAAACGAGATACTTCTAACTGTGTAGCGGTGCCAAGCGGTCTCGATGGACGGAAACGCCGTTCGAACCCGCGTTTTCCGCGTTTCACGCCTCGCATCTAGTTCTTTTCAGCGCACACATCCTCTATATATATTCAATAAAAACTGAAAATTCCCATGAGAACAATTAGATTTTCATAATTAACAAAAATTACTTAAATGCTATAATACTATTATCAACTATAATGTGGATTAATTATAAACTCTTTAAAAGAAAAAGGAATTAAACGAGATATCTGTGTTTTCTGAACTTGAAATGAAATATTTTTCGCTGATGTATAAAGCATTGAAATATGTGATACACGAAATAATTTTCTAAATCGACACATAAAAAAGCCGGATACCTACTTACGGGTTTATACTCGATAGAAGGACCAGCCGAATTGCTCGCAAGATTCTCTGAAAAATAGAATCTTCTTTTTCCCACGAATTTTATTTTTCATGACATATATTTAGATCGCGGACAATATCTTACAAATTCAAGACTTTTTTCGTGAAGTCAAGTTTCGTGCGACGTAATGTGAAAAAAAAGCGAAATCCCACAATGAATACTTGTCGCGGTCTCGGAATAGTATCTGGCTTTCTCATTAACAGCCGAACCAAGATTCTCATGCGACTAACTCAAAAGCTAGATGCTAATGTGTAGATGTATCTAGTCGTAATCGTAGCACATTAAGCGCACATTAGATACCCACGTGTTTGTTGCAATTATCCAATCGGTCTATTTAAACGATTTAGCTGTTGGTTTACAACTTACGCAAAAATTATTAATAATAATAAATCGCTAAACAATTACTTATTCTTAAAAAAGACATGTTAATAATTTTTTAAAATTTTCTTAAAAAAAACAAGTTCGTTTATTTCTTCTAAAAATAATTATAACTTTAATTTTAATTTCCGTAATTAAAATTTTCTTTTTACATAATTTTTATGTATGTTTCTAAAATTCTAATTTTTTACATTTTTCTAAAAATAAATTTTTTTTCATTTTTCCTAAAAGTAATTTTAATTTAATTTTTTAAATTTTCCTGGAAATGAATTTATATATATTTTATATTATTTGCATTTTAATTTGATTTCTAGGTTTTTCAATGTTATTCCAATTATTTCTACTTGCTTTTTTAATTTCCTAAGAAGTTAGCAGAAACTTGCGACATTGAGATTTCAAATATTTAGCAAATATTTTAGGTCTATTTTATATATAATTATATGTGATATATATATATATATATTTTCTTTTATTACTTGAGAAAGCTTACACAATACACACACATATTATCCTGTCACGTAAGGAATTTAAGCAGTTTAGTTTGAAATTACATCCTGTATAATTAGCGACAGATTTGAAATGTAATCAACTAATTGACACAATATTTTGTAGACGTCTAATTAAACATATATATTATCTTCAATTTCGCAATATATGTATATATTTTGGGATTAGTGAATTGTTTTTTAGTTCCGACCGGTTGTCTATTTTGTTTGCGGTGATTAATAGACAAAACGACCCTGACCATCCCTCGGTTCTTTACCGGAAGATTATAAATTACAAATATAAAATGACGACGTTGTCCGTATGTATTCTTGACAGCGCATTGCATTACGAAACGCGCGCTTGTTATGACGAAGCAACGCTTGCGATTTCTCGTGAGTTTTTGACGTATTGCGATTGACGGTAAAATACGCGTGAATGATGATATTCTAAGTGCCTCTCTTGGTGTATTTTTGGCGGGCACATCTGGCCGAAGCACCGAGCCCTTGACGTGTTTCCCGCCTTTCGGACGCAGTCGCCGCTAGTTACTCGTCGTGGCAATGCTCGTCCGTTGGCTAGATCCTGCGGGAACGTAGCACCTGTTCGCTGATAAGTATGGACGATCGCCAAGCACAAGGTAACAATACAGGGTAGGATCAAAACAAGAAGCTATCAAAGGATGTTATTATACGGTATAGAAGGACGATGTGTAATTTGGGATATTTAACAAAATCAACTAATAGTCACACATGATACTTTACAACTTATACACAATGCTTTCACAAATCGCGAAAAAATTTTTTTAGAACGCGAAAAAAATACAACTTATTTTGATTAAACAAAAACACAACACATAAAATAATCATTAATTTCTTAATTGAAGTAATATTGACAAAAATCATATGCGAGGAATCGAAAACTAATTATTACACTTTGATTACTGATTATTCTGTCGTTTTTATTATTTATATTGCTTTGATATAATTTATTCTTATTTTATTGTAAAAATAATAAATGTATGTAAAATCTCATAAATGATGAAAAAATGCTTCAGGAAGTTCGCGTCACGGATGGCACGTGAGAACGCGAATCGCGGTAATAATATTCATCTGCTTGGCTATCAGTTCGATGATCATTTTCTGGTTCATTAGTTCGATTATTATAGAGAATCGGCGGGATGGTAGATACAGAGGATCGATTGATGGGAAATCTTATAAAATGGCCTCTTTGGAGAGGCTATCCGATCAAGTTTTACCGTTGGAATACACGTAAGCACGACCAGAATATTTTTTCGCTTTTGGCTATTAAACTATCGGAAACAAAGAAAAGAGATATTTTTCCATTTATTACAATCCTTGAATTAAGAGTTTTGTTTTTCTTACACTAATGCGTACTAGCAGCAATGTGAGTGTCACTCAGAGTTTTCCGTATCATTTTTAATATCAATCAAATATAAAAAAACTCAGTGAATGTGCATTAAGTGTATTTAATCGAATTCGTTATTAAAGACTTTTTTTAGACATTTTAGCAAAAGAAAATATCTGCAACATATGCGATATTTAAATGAATTTTCTCTAATTTTAAATCGAGAATTGAAGTAGCATGCAATGTAAAATTAACAAGTTTGTCACACAGTCAATGACGGACTGACATTGAGTTTTCTGCCTGCGCCGCGTGTCAATCATTTGAATGATTGATATTGCAGACGTAAACTAGAATAGTTTCAGCGCATAACTTTACTTGCTCTTTGCTTGCTCAGACTAAGATTAACGTTAGGATCCAATCATAGCGCAACAGCGAGGAAATAAATATTTATGTTTTGAGCAAGTAGCACATCTAAATTAAAACGACCGAAATTAACTTACACCATTTTTGCTTTTCGATCTTTCATATCGTAATCTTTTTCTCTTTGGAAAAAATTACATTACAGCTTGAAAATAATGCCTATACTAGAGGAGAAAAATTTTACGATGATCGGCGTCGCACAGATTCAATTTTATTCCAAGATCCCGACTAAACACATACGCTTTCACGCCCGCAAACTCTTCATACAAAATATTAGCGTGATGGAATATCGTTCGCCGAACGAATCGAAGCTGATTAGCAAATACGTCGTGACGGATGAGAAGGATTTTATCGATGTGTTTTTTTTGCAAATACTAATGGCGGGAGAGACTTACGTTTTGCATGTAGAATATACGATGCCATTGCATGAGGAACCGACAGGATTTTTTAGGAGTGCATACATCGACCGCGATACCAACGAAATCAGGTAATGATTGATGCAAAGATAATATTAGATATTAATATTACCTCGTTACCGTCAATGTAATCTATCAATATCGACAAAAATTGATTTTTCCGTAATAAATTTTTTTTTTGTTATAAAATATTTAGTGCAATTTATGTTTGTGCATTATATATATTTGCACCTTGTAAAAGCAAATATATATATTTTTTTTTTTTTAGGTGGATAGCAGTGTCAAATTTCTCCCCTGATTACGCTCGCACGGCCTATCCATGCTTCGACGAACCATGGATCAAGACGCCGTTTCGTATTTCAATCGGCAGAAAGTTCAACATGCGATCGCACTCGAATTCAATGCTAAAATTCACTGAAGAAATGTAAAAGAGATCCATTCAATTTTGCTGTATTATAACGTATCGCAACATTAATCGCACATCTGACTGCTGCAAAGACTTATTTAATGTATTCGCGTTTAATTACAAAGATTGATTATATAATATTCAAATTTAATCCAGTTTCTTTTCTTCAGTCGTGATATGCCTGGATATGTTTGGGACCATTACAAGAAAACGTTACCGATGCCCACGTACTTGGTCGCTTTTATGGTCACCGATTTCGTGAGTTACGAAGTTGCCGTCACCGATCGACCGTCGCATACGATCTTTGTCAGGAAAGATGTCGCAAATAATACAAAATATATCGGCAATTTGATACCAAAATTGCTTCGTTTAATTCAAAATTTTACCAAATCTTATTACGAATTGGACAAGCTGGATGCGATTGTGGTTCCCAATTTTGCTTATTCCGCGATGGAAAACTGGGGCCTTATAACGTTTCGGTAAACATACTTGCCATAGTTCAACTTTTTTAGAGGTATACTATCGCCTCAAATGTGATTGGCATTTGACTTTTTCTTAAAAAGAAAATTGTAGAATTGTATTTTATGTGTAATGTTGTAACGCAATATACGTATATCAATTAACAAAATTTTAATTAATACAGCTGAAATTAGGAGCTATATTGATATTTTTAGAGAAGATTCCATCCTCGTTGCTAGTATCGCGGCGCACGAAGTCGCCCATCAATGGTTCGGTAATCTCGTAACACCGAAATGGTGGGATGACGTGTGGTTGAAAGAAGGATTCTCCTCATTTTTCGGATACTTAGCATTAAGCGTGGTAAAGTGTACATAAATCAATTTTTTAAATTAATCCTAACCATCCTTTCAGCCTCTTTTCAAAAGTCACAATCATAATTACGAGTACTTCTTTCATACTTATCTCTTATACTTATCTTTCATATTTATTTCTTTTACACTCACACTACTTTTCACGTTATAACTTTTTTGTCATTCCTTTAATATAATTCTAGGTGATTGCTATTTTTCAATCTTTCTGATAATTGACTGATAATTTTTCAATAGCATCAACATGTTTATCATATCTTAATGGTTTACGGGAACTAATTATTAATTTTTGTAATTGCGCAATCATAGCGTTGTGTGGCATTTACTCAACGATTACCTTTCTTGATCTTCCAGCTCGAGCCTGCATCCTGGGATGCGCAGACCAGCTTCCTGATCGAGTGCCGCGACGTGTTCGATAACGATGCCTACGAAACGGCACACCCATTGCATATTGATCTGAGCGAACTGAGCAAGCTCGCCGATGTCTTTGATTTGACGTCGTATGTCAAGGGTAATTGCATGGCGCATATGATCTATCATTTTCTGGGTGAGCGGATCTTTCTGTCATCTGTGCGCGGCTACGTACACACATACTGCTATCGCAGCGCTAATCAAATGGATCTCTGGAGCGCTTTTCAGACTGAGATCGATGGAGCGAACGGGCTACCGGCTTCTTCGGGGCTCCGCATGAAGGACGTTATGCGAACTTGGACGTATCAGGCAGGATTCCCTGTCCTGCACGTCCGACAGAATCGTGAAACCGGTGCGATCGAGCTTACGCAGGTGCGCCCCATGTTTATCGCAGATCGATCTACACGGGCGTGTTTCTTCATCTCTCTCCCTTGTTTCGTCGACGACAAATTATTTATCGATGGAATGCGTTTATACGACGATATTAATCATCGTTATTCCTTCAATGTAATGAGAGAAAAAGGATGTTATGTAGTTTTACGAATAAATTATATAGAACGCTTCTGTATACATTTTAATCTCTCGGTTACGGAGATTAATCTAAAACCGATTTTTTTCTTATCAAAAATTTCATCGAGTTCCATATTTAGCCACGATCTTTCAATAATTTGGATTAATTGATAATTGAATTTTGTATTGAAATTTTGTTAATATAAATATTATTCGATATTAAATGTAAAGGTCATTTATATTTTAAATATTTCTTGACTGTTTGATTGTTTTAATTGTTCGAAAGTTAAATTGTAAATAAAAATGTAATTTAAAAATGTGATTGCTAGCAAACAAATAATTTTTATATTAATTTATCTGTGCAGAGTCAATAATTTTTTTTATTTAAATTTTTCTCTTTTTCATATTATATATATATAATTTAATGTATGAAATTAAATTAATATTTGAAGTTAATCATAATGCTTCATAAAAATATTATGGATAACATTTACGGGAAAACATTGCAATTTATAATCTCCATCATTATAATAGATAAATAGATGTAAAACACAACCATGAAATATCTGCAGTGGATGTCGATAAAAATTGCTCAATTATGTGATGTTTGTGTTTCAGGATCGATTTTATCATTATGGCATAAATAGTACGAGCGAAGAGTTATGGCACATTCCGTTGACGTGGACAACCGAAAATGAACAGCAATTTGGTAATACTTTGCCGAAGCCATGGATGGTCAAGAAACGCATGAAAATTAACGACACCGTTCTGAGCCGGGCGACTTTCAACAATCAGTGGATTCTGTTCAATATCAATCAAACGGGTAATATCACTGTCGTAACATCCGCCGTTCAATTAAGAAGATAATATCCAGAGCAATATTTTTACCGGCAATGCCGATCAATTTGAAAATTTGCCCGAGCCACTTGATAAATTCACAAATATTTATTTCATACACAAAATGTTCTAGAATTATAATATTATTTAAGTATTCAGAGATAAATAGTCTACAAACTATAACACAATTTTTCTCTATCACTTTCAAATTATTCAAAATTTCTATTAATAATTTATCGTTCTATATTTTGCAGCTTTGTATCGTGTCAACTACGATATAGAGAACTGGAAATTGTTAACGAAATACTTTCGAGCTTTGCCGAAAGTAGCAAAAGTGCAAGTACTGACCGACTCGTCTGCGATGGTTAACGCTGGACTGCTCGATAAAAGAATCATGTGGAGTATTCTTGAGAAACTGGAAACGGAGAGCGGAGAAATGTTGTGGACACCCGCAATACCTTTATTGACTACGATCCAGAGTCGTCTTTGGGACTCAAGTATATTCGAGGTAATATCCGAGAGCATCATTGTCGCATGTTTGTACTTAATATCTATATAATAAAATAAAAACTTTGTTAATTATAAATAATAGTTCTTCTCCGATAACAAAATTATACATCTATAAATCAACGGAATTTTTCGCGATATTTTCGCTACGTTTGTAGCCCATTTTGCAATTTTTTCGTGATCATAGATTACAAGGAAAAAATTCGAGCACATTTTGTTTTATTATTAATTTATACGGTTGCGGTGTGCGATAAGATATGCGAGATATAATCGATGCCTCTTCGCGCGATCTAAATCGTCCGCTATGCAGTTCTGCCTTATGTCGTTATTACGCGCAGTTAAGACTTAAGTATGGCATTATAAAGCGTATGATTATCCCTGAGACAGATATATAAGCGATCATCGGCCCATCGACCGTCGTTACGATTCGACATTCTCAATTAGGTCGGAGGACTCAATCATTATTTGCACCGAAATACGAGGCACGTAACATTTAATTAAGCACTCGCGCCGACCAATGTTGCCGTAACAGTGTTCTTTTCACAGAAGCCATTATTGCAAAAATATACGAGAGGAAGGTCTCACCGTAAGTAAAGAGGCGGGTCCCGCGCGCGATTTCTTTGGACGCTTCGTGTTCGTAAGCCTAACGTGCCAAATTAAATAAATACGCCGCGGCGTATCTTTGCGATTTAATCCACCCGGTTTGTTGCTCGTAAATTCTGAATAAATGGAATTACTCTCTTACTCCTTGCGCGAATCAACTGCAGATCTCTATAATGTTGCGATAAATATCGCTGCCGCGATTATTTTGCCCTCCTCCTTGCAATTTCACAAGAATATTTTGATGTTTTGCAAAAAAGTGAAACGGAATCTTGAAACGAGAGAGTGACATTTGCTTAAACTGTAGCAGCAGCTTGTAGTTTCTTCTCTTTTCATAAAGAAAATAAAATCCTGCGATATATAAAAAATGA